ACCTCATTGAGAGGGCAATCGTGTCAGTCGATGGATAATCTGAGATAAAAGCAAGTGTGGGATATACAGAGATGGCGAAAGAGAAGGTGAAGACTCGAATCTCCAAGCAAGGTCTGTATGGGCAGATTGAACTCGCATAAAAGATATGTATATATGTACCAAAAATTCCGCGAAAACAGTTGCCATCACTCATTTATTACCGTACTTTTCAAGTGACAACATCATGTGCCGAAAAAGAAATCAGATTCGCGAATCATAAAACAACTGGGTTGTTTTGATGACTCGGTGACTGATTTCAATTTTAGAAATTGGTCCCATAAACTCTCAGAATCAGCAAATTTGCTCGAAGGGGCATAAAATGATATATAACAAAAAAATATAATTATTGTCGCGCCAGGCACAAGTTTTTACAACGTAGTGTGATAGAACAATAAAAACCGTAAAGAATGCATAATCGGAATGCTTATAAATGAGATGGAGACTACAGAGCGTTTTCTTAAGATATGTTTCAGAGTAAAGGGATAAATAGACTATTTTGACTGGAAAATAATGGCAACGTTTATTTCTATGATACTGAGCTACGCAACCGCTGATGTTGAAGGAATTTGTTGCCGACAGTGTTGGATAAATTCGCCCGCTGCAGGGAAACGATCCTGGAAAGAGGATTTATCAAAAGAGCTCAACCCTAAGAAGCAAACCATACTATACAAGCAATGAAGACTTAATCTTGATTGTCTTACCTGTGCCGCTTTATCAAAGATTTCTTCATCACTAACGAGTGGTAAAAACAACGCTATGAGATCATCAGAAAATGGTGGAGCTATAATTTCCAGCACCTAAAACAAGCAAATCTGTGAGGAACTTATTTTAGTACAAGGACACATGAAACCTACCTCCATTGCAAAATATCGCACCAATGATGCATCAATCTGACCATCACGAAACATTTCCCAGACTTTTTCCAAAACTGGAATTGCACCTCCGACTGAGAGGAGATGGACGAGGCGGTCGACTACTAACCGTTGCCGTTCCATGATCACCTTAACCACACCAATCCTCGCAAATTTAATGAGCCCGGGAGCAAAGTCTAACCTCAGCAGCTTCATTCTCTCCAGCAATCTTTTCGTAGAGTTGACAACAAACGTCGAAGGCTTTAGCATGAAGATTTGGGTGTAAGGTAGAGATGTGGTCCAAGAGACAGAGTGCCGCTCCCGGTGGGTCGCCTGGAGATTTGAACAATTTGAAAGAAGATTACTAACATCACAATTTCTCAAAAGCGAGGGATGTGCGCGAAAGACCTAACTGACTCAATACAATGATTATGCACTCACTTCTTCATAGATAATCAGATGGCAACTTATGACGAAATAATTTGGAAGACTTTCTCCCAATGAAAGAACACAATCAAAAGTTGAGGGAGATACTTGTCAGAATATGATGCCCTAGGTCATTCTCCTTGTTTAACACTCGACTAAATGCATTTTATTCGAAGCCGTCAATGGAATACGATGGACATGTTCTTTAAAATGACAACCCTACAACGTGCTACTTTCATCAAGTTC